GTATAAGAGACAGCATCTTGTGCATGCATAGTTGAACAACACTAGTTGACTAGTAACAGAGATCATACTGCAGATATTCATATACATTTTCATGATGGTATATGGATAATGAGATAAACATGAATTTTTGCATGGCCACTTTATCTGTGAAAGGAAATTAGCCTTCTATCTACAGCAGCACAGAATATCAAATCAGTTCGTAAATATAGACTAGATATTTTTTTTTTACTGTACTATACAAAACTTCTATGTAAATGTGTGGTCTATTCTTCTCAAATAAAGATAAATGAATTGTTAAACTGTTATCCTTTTTTCAATCTGTAGATCATGACAAAGTAATATTTGTTACCCTTGGTAATTTAATCCAGGCTGACAATCATGCACAATGTGGAATCACCATTCTTTTGGGAACACTCTAGGAACGTGCAAACTCCAGTCCCTTGAGAATATTCCATGTCCTGTTGCAATGTCATGTAATTGCACTGCAGATCAGACCAATACATGGTTCAATTCCATTGTGGGATTTTAGATGTGTTTGTCTTTTGATAAAGTTTAATTATCATTGTATTTTAGGGGGGGAAGGTGCAGAGCTGGCCCTGGTTCTCCATTTAGAAAGTACAAAAAAATGAAAGAAGAACAAAGAAATTATGTGTTGTGTCGCCATTGGCTACCTTTTTGGACCCCCTCCACTTTCGGACATTTCTGGATCCACCCCTGTATACTGAATGTTTTTAACAACAAAATACATGGTATATCAGTGACAGATCCAGCGATTTGAAATAGAAGGAGGGACTTTCAACGATGATGGGTCTGAGATAAGAAATTGTATGATTATGGCACCTGGCACTCACCAACTTAACGTTCAATTATAATTTTCCGTTGATGTCCATGTGTTTTTAAAATTTTGACAAATTTAGGGGGTGCACACCCTGTAGTCCGCCACTGGATAATATGATACATGTTCTGCAGTTGATGTCAGACACACATTATGCTATTATGTATCAACAAAGCCCTTTTGGGTCAGGGTGCTAGATTGAGGACCCTATGGGTTGGGGTCTGCTCAAGGCTACTAGTGATTGGGGCCCTGCGAAGCACCACACAAGAGCGCAAAGGCATTACACCATTGATTTATATACTCTGCTATAGGGTGGAGGGTTGATAGAGACAACATAGATGATGGGATTTCTCCAAAAACACAAGCAAAATTGATCTTGCATGTTTTGAGAGTGTGAACCATTATTATCCCAAATTCTCTCATTGATGTTTTGTCAACTTCCCTATTCTATATTAAATCTGCCATTTTCTAGAAATAGTTTGACTAGGCCTAGCTTCTAGACGGCTTATCACATGCCTTAAACATATAGACCTTTATGCAAGTTGAAGTATATATTTAAACCCAGATAGGTATGAGATACAGGAGTCAAGTGTTTATCCCTGTTGATATCAATTTGAAATGGTGTCAAGTTTTAAACAAAAATGTGAAAGTCAAATGGCCAAGTTTATCTTAAATGAACCAAATGATTCCTTAAATTCAGCTGAAAATATTTTTAAAAAATTCCTATTAATATTTACTACCTTAAATGTAGATATGTATGCATGCTATTTTGAAATATTGGACAAGACCCTAGACAGCCCCCCCCCCACTGGGCAGATCCAGGGGTGCAGGCGGTGTATTCACACCCCTTAAATTGTATTAAGAAAAATAATTGCTGTATTATTTTGTTGATTTTGTTGAGGTTCATATTCTCAAAATTTCCAAACATCAGCCCCAATCATGGTGGGGCTGAGGTGGTGTGGACTTTTGTGCACCCCCTACTGCCAAATCCTGCATCCAACCCAGCCAACGTGAATTTTGCTGGGACCACAGAAGTGGGGTTTGGATATGACATGGGTTAAGACCACATCTGATGTAAGAGTGACTATTTTGACAAAGTAGTAAAAAAACAATAAGTGATGCAAGTTTAAATTGATTCTGCACCTATAAACTTTTTTTTGTGCGGACCTAATGTGTGATTCCCTAATGCAGCTGCGTTCCATGTAAAATTAAAAAGTGTGAATACTCGATAGTAAATTGCACCACAACTGTGTCTCCCAATTACATGCTGTACCCCTTCATCTGCCAAAAAGCATTCGTAATTGGAAAATACCAAGGCTTCAAAGGCATACCTTAGGCCCCATTTAGGGGATTTCCTAGGCCTTGGGGAGTGAACCTTACTACCTATTCTTTATGTTCTTTAGTATTTCTTATAGGTGTTTACCTTACATTATTATTTATCATGGACTTTGATAGTTTGTCAAATAAGGTGACTATTGCAACACGTTCATCTCCAACCTCCTAATCGCTGCCAAGTCCCCCGCTAACCTGGTGAACTAACAGTCGATCCTCAAGACAAGATTACACCCAGATAAGTGTTGATAAAATGGCAGAGTTTGGCACTGTCTTTTTTTTTTAGCCTGTGTATTGAATTGAGCCAACAGAAGTTTTTTTAATTGTGTGTGAATTCGACATTAATGAAGTTTTGAAAGACTATTTAATGCATTACTGTGCAGATACTTAAAATGTAGTAAATCATCTACAGCTCAAACCTGGCATAAGCTTGTCAAGTTCCAATTATTGTGTCCTAGTTTGGATTTTTTTTGTTTTTGATAGTAACTTTGAAATGGTGAAACACCTTCACTAGTGAAGTTGCATCTTTTGAAAAACCTCATAACTTAACTTAACATAATTTGCAGTGGTCTTGCAATTAGATTGTCATTTGGTTCTTTGAAAAGTGATCTCAAATTAAAGGGGTCTCAAATTGGAGTGTGGGTGCACTGTATATACTTGAACACCACCATTGCTTACCCCCTTACTGTTTTGAATACAGAGGTGCTGTGTTATGAGTGTAGTGACTTGCAATTACTAGTGTTTTGTCAAAGGATTTGAACCCAGAATCTTAGTTATGGGAAAGTGGGAGTCTTAACCACTTAACCACTGTTTTTAGGTACTGTTCTTCCAAGTAATATTTTTATCTTTTTATGCAGAGTTGTACTTATGACTACTGTATATACTTTGTTTAACAGATGTGGTCATTATACTGACTTCTGTGTTTTGAAGCCAGTGAACTAACAATGCAAGTCATTGTTAGAAACCACAGAAAGTACATTTGATTATGCAATGAACACCACTGCCTTGAGGGTTCAAATAAAATGATCAGCTATCACAACAGTTAATATCCCACTGCTGTGTTTACACTCTGCCATGGTTTTATCAGTGTACATAGAAAAACCCACAATTCTGGTGATATAATGTTCTCCACTGAGGTTCTACCTGGAAATGAGTGAACAATTAACACAAGAGACGAGACACCAGTCGTTCAAAACACAAGCTTGAGAATTTTTGTCACGAAAGAGTGGTTATTTTTATATTTTTTTTTCTTTTGAGGAAGTTCAAAATCTGTAATTGAGACAACATTGCCTAGACAGAAATTTTTTGATGAGGGGTTGAAGATGTACAGTTCCAACATTGCTAGGGACTGGGGTGTACAAATTTCAAGAATAGGTAACAAAGACATCCAGAAATAACACTCTTTTAAGGAGTGCTCCCTGACAAAATGATCCTACTTCCAGGATTCCTCAACAGTAGTTTTCTTCTCACTATACCCGCTGGGGGGTGGTTATCTGGGCGTGGGTCCTCTAGGTGTGGATCCAGAGGTCTGCCCAGGGGCCACAGTGGGGTGGGGCAAAAGGCCCCAAAGCCAGAGCGATTTTTGTGTGTTTATAGGTCTAAATAATGCTATAAAAACAGTTTATGTTTGAACAGGGAGTTGACTCCCTGGTTTGAAAAAGGTCTGCAGCAAAACATTCTGTCTAAGTGGGTCTGCAGTGCATTAGTTGGGTTGGAGGACTTGTTCAGGAAATTTGGGGGTGGGGGTGGTTCTCAGAAAAGAGGGGAAGTTTCCTAGAAATGGGGTGTTCTCCCGTAATGATAAAAAAAAACAAACCCTGGCTATGGGCCTGTGGGGTAATAATGTGAAGTGCTTAGATGCCTTGTTGGCATTAAGCGCTACAGAATGAAACATAATAATCATAATTCAACTGAGTGAGTTTATTAAATGTACAGTAAAACAAATTCTTCCTCTACTGTATCCTCTACAGAATAAAATGCAAAGTTGAGTCAAATGCTGATTAGGGAATCCAACCCAAAGGGAATCGTTTTAAGACACTCAGCTAATCAATGTGATAATACTGGGCTGAACAAACCACTGTATTGATTTAAATGCCCACAGTTTGACCTCAATTGAGATAAAAAAAACACTAAGTGTCTTTGTTCATTTGGGCGATATTTACCTGAACATTATCTCCAAAATTCGAGGTCATCAGTGTCAATAACCATTGAACACATCATTCTTATCTGTATAAATGTTTCACTTTAGATGTTAATTTGTCAATTTGCAGTGTTGATGTTAAGTCATGTGACCCACACAAGCCTATCAGATCAGTTGCTATATCTACATTTTTTTTCTATAAGTAGAGAATGACTTTTGAACACACTATGTGGTAAATATAACATGTTTCTTGTCTGGACTTTATTTAAACTAGGGTAATTTTAGGCTGCAGTTTGGGGATGAGATTTCCATCAGAGACCAAACTATAATGCCCAAGTAGGTGTCATGTACCAAGCCCTGTTGTGCAAACAGTAGTTGAGCCAGTGGGGAAGGGAAAATTATCGGGAAATTAAGTAATGTTTTCTGAACTACACAAGTATAATATTCTCAGCATATTATCAACCAAACTGACCAGGTACAATATTCAGTTGGACCAAAAAGAGTCCAATCTAACAGACCTTTAAATTGCAACAGTTTGCTTTAATACACTTTGATTTTTTTTTAAATAACAACTAGTAAAAGTGCCCAGGCTCAGTGTTCTTATTTTTAGACAATATCAGGCTTAAAATGTCCTTATTTTTGTCTTTATTTTAAATACTTTTTATAAACATAGAAAAGTATTATTGTACATTAATTATTTTAATTGTATTTTACTGTACTGTATTATAGAGGGTATTACACACTATCTACAACACATAAGGTACAAATAAGATTTGTTAGTTTTTCTATTTTTTTTTTAATTAACAACCTCATTTGACATGTTTACCTCAGCCTCAATTTGTTCTTATTTTGTTCTTAATTTTTAAGCAACTTCAGTTCAGTGTTTTTATAAAATGTGTTATTAAAAAAAAAATTGTCGTCCATTTTCTTGCATCTGCACGTGCTCATCTATGTGTCTTACTGGTGTACGTTAAAAATGGCACTGGAAAAATGGCCCCCCAATGATAAAATTTACTAATAAAACTGATGGCAAGAAGTGAACCAGTAAATCAACATAAATCATGCATTTTTTTAAACTAAAATAATTTTTTTCCAAGACCATTTTTCCATAAATTCTGTTTTACCAATACTACTGTACCTCCATTGTTATTTTTTTTAACAATCCCCTCCCACAGCCAGTTTTCTCGACTGTCCAAGTGTGATGCATTATTGTAAATCATTAATTGGATTGCAATTTGTACATGGTGATCCCTGCAAATGTTTTGTGACCTTCAAAATATCGCCAATAGTAACACAAATAGATCACCAAGAGAAATTTAACTCCAGAGAAAAACATTAAAAAAACCCCTTTTTACTACTTATTAAGCTGAAGTATTCTTAAAAATATTAAAAAGATGATTTCAACATAATTTTTAAGTCATGCTGCGAGTAATTTTTTTGTGAAAATCAGGATTCTCCCGGTACAAACGACCCCTGGATTTGAGAGATTTTTGGACGATTTGTTGGGCGTATAGGACGACCCCCCCCCCCTGTTTCATCATCAGAATTGCTATTTTTTCCTGCTTTTTATTGTTAATACTGCATCTGGCTGGCTAAAAGAGAGTCAAATGCAATGCTATCTTCCAAGTAACACCATTTTGAGATTTTTAAATGTTCATTAAAATCTTACTTCCTGTGTTTAAAATTGTGTTCATTATACTAACATTTAGTGGTTTCATTGTTACATACGACAAACATGATTAAAAAAATCTGTATGTTGTGCGTATTAGAATAAGATGCCCCCCCCCCTGTTTTTTTACCATAGTGTGGCAATTTTAGCCTCGTCTTATACACAAGTACAGTATATATGGTACATACATATTATATACATATTTAATTTGAAGGCCTTTAGCTCTTTATAATATCAGGTCTTACAGGAAAAGCAGTCTGAAAATGACAATTGATGACTTGAACTTCTCATGAACTCCTCCACAAAACTAAATAGATAGGCAGCCTACTTCCAGTCCAGCCTAATATATAGGGAAAAGGAAACATTTCAAAACTATACAACGGTGTCAATACCCTTTGATATCGCTGTGAAAAAACATCATTGTGAAATGTTGGGTAGAGTGGCGACAAATCTTTAGACAAGACAATCAAAAACTCATTTACGTGAAATAGGATTTAACATGGGTTAGTAGGCAAAGATAATGGCGGAAGGAACCACAATTACAAAGACAGGAAGTACCATGGAGTGGCATTTCTTAACATAAAGAAAATGAAATATAAAATGTTTCATTTTATGTGAACGATGTTACTGAACTTTAAATTTGATACTACATGTGCTAATATATTATATTTTTGCATGGATCTGTTCATGAAATTGTACCGAGTCAAATTCTATAGAAATAAGTTTTGTCACAAGGAACAGCTGTTTTGTTGGCAAGTTGCCCAAATCCCTCTAGCACACAGCCATCATGTTCTGACCTTGAGGACGTCTCAAATTTGATTGGCTTCTAGGAAAAGAACTTGGATCAAAACAACTTGAGTCAGGGGTCAACGATCAGCTGTATGTTAAAAGTTGTTTACACTCTGTTTCTTGTATAATCTTCAAATGTTCAAATGGAGAGTGCTGAAGTTAATATAAATCTTAACTTCCTAAATGACAACTTGAAAGAAAAGCAGCATCCCTGCTGTTCAATGTTTTAATTTGAAAAAGGTCATTGCTGTATTCAGGATATCAGGATATTGCTTTGGGGGGGGGGGGAAGAAGTTGTAGGGTATGCAAATATAGACCAACTGGGGTCAGGGGAAGAGCCAGTTGCATCATAGGTCAATTTATTTATTATTAAGCCTAATGATAGACTGATTGTTACAGTATAATGTAAAGATTCCCATTTAATGTTAAAAAAAGAAATTTTATACATTGACTTTCTTAAAACAAGGACCTTTTCCAGTTTTCGGGGTGCATACGCACCCACTGCACAGCACCCCCTGGATTATTATTATTAATTTTAACTATTCTGCTAAACAGAATATTCGGTGATCATTTATGTAAATTTATGTTGACACTTCAGCAAATAAGACTGAGAATATGTCATAGTATTTAAGTTATTAATTCAGTATGGAGAAATAAGTAAATAATTAAAAAAGGTTACTTTTCTATTCTATATAAATTTTACAGTATATGAATTGTTTTTTTTAAATTATTTATTATTTGATATTGAAATGGGCCTGGATGTGGGAGCAAGTCCTGCTATCCGGGCAGGCTTATTAAAAATAAAAATATTCAGTTTTCTTGTATCTTCAGCATTTACTGTACTGTACAATGCATTTATATTTTCAGGACATGTGCAGCATTTGACATTTGCAAAAGGAACTTGAATAATACTGCCTCTTTAATTTTAGTAGCCTGTAATAAATCATGTTTATGTATATAAATAACTAGATAGCCTCAACCCACTAGCATCTTCCTTTCAATGCTGGTATTTATCTCTTTAGCCATGATGAAGTAGAAACAGGTAAAGTTTCATTGTCTACTGCCTTCACTTATGTCCTTGTTCAATTTATAGCAAAGCAGATTCTAGGCGGCCTACCTTTGTCAACTTAATTCTCCTAGGTTAAAATTATCAGGTATTAACACAGTCGATATAGGAGGCAGAGCTCAGTAGGTTGCACTACATATCTTATATAATTATAGGATCTGTATTGCACTTGTATCTGGTGACCCCCCACACCAATACTCTTGCATTTTGTTTATTATTTGCCATAGAAATCCATGAAGCATTTGATAAAAGACACTACCTACCAAACATTATTCAGTACATTTATTTATTTTACAATATTTCCAATAAATTTGAATATAATAGAGAATCAAATATCATTGAAAGTGAAAGCTGTCTCAAAAGTACTTGAATTGAAGGACAATATCCTGGAGATCTTATAAGGTCCCTGGGAATCAGTTGCATAATGGGGTGAGTGGGAAAGCATGCTCCCCCCACCCAAAAAAAGCTCATCCCTCTCCCAGTCGTCCACATCCCATTGAAAATGTCTGGAGCAAAAAAATCACTCATGTAGTTAAAAATCACTTCATCCCCTTATTTTGTGATCTAGCACCACTTGTTTATTCATCAATCACCCTCTCAACCTTCTCTCACCCTATCAGCACCTCTTTTCAAGACTCGTAGACATGCCACTGCAGGGAACTGAACTTAGGAGCATGTGATTATAGGATGAGTACTCAACTGTCAAGTCAGTTGGCTCATTCTTGATCCTCAAGAAAATGCATGTACAGGAATACCAAAGGTCACAATTTCATAAAGTAGCCTTGCTTCGGGGACAGTGTTCATAAATTGATGCTTTCTTAAACTGGGAGGCTGTGAAGTACATAGTGACAGTGGTGCAATACTTTATAATCACGATCATCAATTGTCAGGCCCCTATGTAGTGCTAAAACATTCCCAGATTTTGCACTGCTGCTGAAGGTTTGCATTCAAACTAAAATATTTGTTAAATTTTATGCTAAATAATAGCAAAACATGGTTCATGTCAGGCTTTTATTAAGCCTCTCCCCTACTTTGAAAGGCACAAATACAGTGTTGTACTCATGTTAAGTATAGTTTAAATTCCAATGGAATTCTCTGTGCATGCATGGGAATTTTTTTCAAACAGGCAATAGGTGTGGGGTGGGGCACATAATATTCTATTTTCCTTGTTTCAATATCTGTACCTATCTTCACATACAAACATCAAAATGCTGGTTGTCAATACATTGTATGCATGGAAATTAGAAAATGGAGTGGCAAAATGGCCCTTACATTGCACCTACCACTGGCGTGTTTCCGTACAGTAAATATATGAGGTAGTTTATGTAAATATCAGTGGCGGATCCAGGAATTTGAAATAGAGGGGGGGCCCAGAGGGACTTTCTCAGATGGTGAGTTAGACCACCTCAGCCCCACCATGATTGGCACTGAGGATAGATTTCTGATTATGGCACTTCTAGATGACCAGAATTGGCACTCTCAGAAATAAATTTGATTAAAATTTTCCTTTTTTTCTTTACATTTTTATATAATTTGGAAAAAAGTTAGGGGAGGGGTGCCCAGGCCGGCTTGGCTCTACCTTGAATCTGCCACTGATTATAATTTTCATTTATGTTGTATGTCATCTTGTCGTTCTATATAATTCATAAAGCATGATGTACATTCATAATTATCACTACACTGACTTGAACACAAGCCTAGCTCATTGACCACTAAATCCCTGGGACTGAAAATAAAATTAGTTACTTTACAAGGATGAAAACTGCTGAGTGATATTCCAATAAGTGGCTGCAACCCGGAGATAAACAAATGCAAAGAAATAGAAGCAAAAGATTAGGTTATTGAAGCCAAGTTGGCTTATTATTTTTATTCAGCCTTGGACTTTTGGGTTCTTTTGAGCTGGACTTCAGCCAGATAGCCAGAGTGGAGGAATTTGATTCAAAACGTGATTCTAGAATTAGTATTACAGTAGGCTTATCTTCCATGGCAGTATATTATTGAGTTCCTCTGTTGAATAATAAATATGAAAAATGGAAACCACAGATGCTGGTACTTTTAAAGACACAGAAACAACAACATTTCACATAAACTGTACAGTAGAACCCCTCTTTTGGGACACCCTTTTAAGTGGGCACTTTTTTAGGTATAGAAGGAGGCCACTTAATAGGGGTTTTTGCTGTATTAATCATAAACAGAATTATGTCCACATTATTATCATATACACCAAAACTGGATGCTCATTAGTTGGTCAAATCGGGGCACTTTCCCAATTGCTTTGGTGGAAGCCACGCAGTGCAACAACCATTTTTACTGAAACGAAGCTTTATAAAAAATTGCCAGATATATTCTCTATTTATTATATTATTTACTAGACTATTCATTTGGTGAAACTTTTTAAATACCTTGTTTAACAAACTTATATTTTTAAAAGGTTGTCAGAGGGCAGAAAACACATATACTGTATAAAAATAAAATTCTGTTTTCTTATTTAAAATGATTTTGCCAAACCACCTAGGCAGAGAAGAAAATAATGAATGTATGTAAACAGTGTTGTATAATAGTGAGATTAATAAATGCTTTAAATATATATAATTAAGGGAAAGAAAATTTATCTTATTTTTTGGATATTTCACAGGAGTGGAGTGTGTAATAGAAATGGTGGAGGATGTGCTAACTGGCCAAAAATAAAATTTTATTTTTATTCAAAATCACCATTACTTGCAGTCAGAGGGTTTGCTAAACAAGATAAAAAAAAGTGTTGCCTTGTTAGGAAGCTAATAACACTGTACGATAAGATTTATATTACTAGTTAAAAATACAGAAACAACTTAAGGCCACTATCACCAATGATGTGTATACTCCTTAAATTAGTATTTATTATATAATATCTTACACAAGAAACATAGTGGACTTTTCCAACACAAATTTTAGGCCAAATAAAAAAAAAAAAAATAATAGTTTCTCATCCCTTCGCACATCTATTATCTCTACCTCACCCAATTTTATTTATTTATTTTTTAATTTTTTTAAGTTCCCTCATTCTCCTAAATCCAAAATACTATTAGGACGAGAACCTACTTTTTATACTTGGGATTACAAAGGGCCAGGAACATGAGCGTGTCCCACAAACACAAGTTTATATAATATCGTTTTGAGGGGCCTTAGCAATAATAACCAAGGGAAAGAAGGGCCAAGTGGAATGGTCCATTTATGTTCCACAAGTATGTCAAGAAAATTTAGCCCTTAACCTCTTAATACAAAGATATGAATTTTTAATGGTATTGATATAATAGATATAGGCCTCTTTTCCTATTAACTTATCATTGAAGGATTATCAAATAATTCCATATTATGTACAAATATGTCCAGTCATCGGTGCTGTTAATGTTGTTCACAATTCTCCAAGACATCATTTTCCTAAAAATTAAAAAAGAACATAAAAATTAGTGATTTTATTGGCTCATTGAATAACGTTATCAATTTTAGTGACAGTTTTAAAACAAACTTTTGTCATAAATCTTAGAACAAAGCAACCAGTCTTATTACAAAACAATAACAATACAGTAATTACAGTAATAATAACATTTTAAAGTATTTAATACATTTTTTTGGCTTCCTGTTTTGATAGAATTTCCAATTTACTTCAAAGATTACGAAACAGAATTCCCATACCCAGTGTCCTTTCAAAATCCTGGATCGCCCATCCTGGAAAATCCCAAAGGAGGTGACATTGTGTAATCCAAGTAAGTGCGATGTTGAAACATGCTTTTTGAAGTGTGTCATGTGTGCTTTGAAGTATTTACTGAAGGTTTTTATTGGTACTAATGGGTTTCCTTTGACAAAATCACAAATAGTTAAACACCAGTGAACAAGAGGATTATTATCTACCAGTATGTTTGATACAGAGTTCTAATGATGCTTGCCTTCGAATTCCAAGGTCCTGGGGGTCCACCATGACAAAAAAAAACCAAAAAAAAAAACAAAAAAACTACAGATTAAGCGTCATAAAGAGACCTGGTTAGAAAGCATTAAAGAACAGCTCACCACTCACCAAGTCTAATGTGACCCGGTTTTTCATGGATCCCAGGTCTCAAATGATCATCTCTCCACTCCCAAACTGGCAACTGGTTATTGAGCATATCAAGGGACCGAAAGGATTAGCTCTCCACTCCCCCAAGTCTCACAGACAAACTTGGTTACAGTGTCATGGATCCCAAAAATCCATCCACTACCTCCCTCCCTATGTCTAATAAAATGTTAATAAACCCTAGGTTGATTTAGGTATAATGTCAAAACTATAAGTTTTAAGGTAATATTTGTGATTATCTAAACTTGAAAATCAAGCACTTTAGGAAAGTAAAAAATCTAGTTTTCATAAAAAATTGCTGTGCAAAAACAAAATTTATATAATATTTTTTTTAAATAACGACCCGGGGCAATCATAAAGGGGGTATTTATTCAAGAAAAATATAAATGCCCTGGAGCATTTTATTGAATGGAGGTGTTTATTCCAAATGAGCCACTGGAGGGGGCCTTTATTCAACGGGTGTTTGAATAAATACGATGAACATATTCAAATGTATTTTGCTGTTCATGTTTATGAAGAAAAACAAACGTGCCCTTATCTTCTTTATCAAAACATTTGTTTAATTTGACCTTAAATAGCATAAATGTACTGTCATTGTTATACTGTTTATTTTATTGAAATCTTTATTATATCTACATTGGTGATGATTCATAACAAGGCTATATATAACAGGGTCTCTCTATTACACTGGTATTGCACAACGTAATTGTGCTGTGGTTTCCCAGCTGTTTTGCTTGAGAAAAAGAAAATAAACTGGATTGAGGCAGTGCGTGACCTGCTCTGCCTTGTTTTTCAATTCTTTCTCTTCTATTGTCAAAAGAAAATAATCTGTAATGCCTGTGGAAAGGTTTTTAAAGTGAAACGTTATATAAAAATACCTGGCTTCATAGATTGTTAGCTTTTGACAATGCAAAAGAAAAAATAATTGGGATCGTTGACTCCTGAAAATCCAGGGAATAAAACAAAAATAAACAATGATAAATTTGGAGATAAAATAAACAAAGCAAAAAGGGTATAGCCACAATTTAAAATGCTAAAAATGACTGATCATTATTGTTTGATGGAATTGCACAACCACTATATATGCAGTAGAGGCAAAAGTTGTAATCAATAAAAAGAAATGCAGCCTGTACTGTAATAACAATGAGACAACACTTCTTTGGTTTGTCTGGCAATAGTGCAATATAGATTTTGATATAATATACTGAATCACTTCTTGATAGAATTTTAGATCAGGGGTGGCCAAATATATTTATTATACTGACCACATGTATGCAAAATTTTATGTTTTAGTGTGTTTGGAAAATGTTGCTCAGTTTAACAAAAATTTTACAGATTATATGCGCAGGACTGTTTCAAAAAAGGAGGTTTCTGGCTGAATAAAAATTTTCAGTTTAATATTTCTTCAAAAATTGAGAAATATCAGAATCTGCATAGCCTCAGGTATCGACACATTTTTGTTACATATTGATAATCAATTGGATGCTGTTGGTCATTGAGATATTAAATTACTTGTTAAGAAAAGCTCCCATTGTGCCCTAGGCCTACCAATAATGCATTCTAATATTATTCATGATTTCAAATAATATTGGTTTTAAGTGATTTATTTAAAAATTTCAGAAAATTTTTTCTTTATCATACGATCTAACAAATTTTTCCCTCACAATTCAATAATTAGAAAAAAAGTAAATTTAAGAAAGTTACATTTAATGAACTAATTAAGTATTTAACACACTGGCTGCCAGCGACGAGTACACTCGCCCACGGAATGTTGCTGAAGGCGCCAGGGACGAGTATACTCGTCAAAATCGGAGCGACATTCTCTAACCAGACCCAACGCTAGTGGTTTGCGGAAGATACACCTAGACGATAACGTACAAATGACGCATGTATGTTTGTTGTGTTATATTTCCGGTAGTACACTCTAGCGGCACAAGTGGAGGGCATCCTTTGAACATTATACCAACCCATGCAAAAAGCGAACGAGATAACTCGCACTTGTCATAGTCAATAAAAAGTGCTATCACAGTACCGTCGACAAGTTTATTCACTCCTAATATTTTCCCGCCAATTTATTAGACACATCATTTTGATGATATACGACCGTAAATAAAATTTTAAAAATGTATGCATATGTAAACTTGTTTTGGCACATGGGAAGGAACCTTTGAAAAAGGTCTGGCAGTCAACATGTTAAATAAAGGAAATATCAACACAATTATTGAACTGCTTATGTCGCAACATCATTATTAATACAACGATGTCATAATATGAACTTAAAGTAGGTTCTAGAAAGAGCCTAAATTTTTTTTAAATCACATTTGTTTACTTTTCTCGTCTTATTTTATCTTTGTTTTACCAGAATTGCTTATTCCAAATATCTGGAAAAAAAAAAAAAATTTTATGAAAAATCTTTCAAAATAATTATTTTGCAGGACGAATAATGTCACTAGGTATCCAACTCTGTCACCTTTAACTTAAATATGGTTTTGTACCAATTCCTATTCAATATCAATGAAGGGGGAGGGGGAGGTGGTTTTTGAAGTTTACATCTTCTTCATACCCACTGAATACAAAGGTCAAAGTACTGTATCTCCTAACAAACTACAGGCAAGATCACTATTGCATAAACCAATCAAGACACAGAAGTTTCTACTAAGCAACAAGCAGCCTTGATTCAGATCAGCTGGAAAATACAATTTACATACAATGTCCCTACTGCCACAAGCCTTTGCTGCACTAATCCTGTGTTTATGATGCATCCACCAATTTCTCTTCCTCCCTCTGAAAAACTAAATCACTTCTAGTTCACTTTGTCTTTCCTTTACCTTAAACTGTATGCATTCATCTTTATCACAGCGTGTAATATTATTTAAATAAAATCTTAATTTTGTAATTTCTCATAATGTACAACATTCTATTTAAATTAAAGGATTTTAGCTGAGAGAAAATTCTTACAACAAAATGTTGGCCTAAATAATTTGGTTAAAAAAAAAGAAATTTCATAAAAGTTTAAATACCTACATTAAAGATGTACTATCACTGATCAGTCAAAAATACAGGAAAATACCTCAACATTTTTTTAATTGAATAGCTCATTTGAAGGGATAAAATAAATTATTAGCCTCCAACAAGAAACAGATAGAAAAAGAAAGAGGAGTTTTCATTAATTTATAGACATTTTACTACAAGAACAGGGGTGGCGCCAGGATTTGCCTGATGGTGGGGGCGATGCCCCTGACGAGAGCAAAGTGGGTGCGGTCGCTTAAAATGCTTCGAAAGTGGTCCCGAAGATGATGACAATTTTGGGGTTTCAAAGGCTTATTTAATCGATTTTAGAGTCTACTAATATGTAGAAAATATAATTGTTTTTTCTCGCCGACGAATTGTAGTTTGTTTTTTTTTTCTCTCCGCTGCCTCTGTACAAGAATGATCCTTACATTGATTACCAGCCAATTTAAGGATCTATACAAAAGGATAGAAGAAACTGTTTTAATATCGATGGGGAATTTTAAGTTAAAAACTTACAATTTCAATACGTGGAATTAAAATGTATTTACATCATGAATGATAGTACATCTTTAACTGTTGTTTAGTACAATGCTTGGATGGCCAATTAATTTTACTATCACAACAAACTCCGAGGATTCACAACTGGTTTATGAGACAAAGAATTGAGGGTAGTGTAATTTACATACAATGCACTTGGAATAATAGGGTTTATGGTCAATGGACAAATAGCTTCAGCAGCTTTCTCAATCACGATTTCAAAGCATGGGTCAATCTTGTTAAGCTAACAAGACCTTGTTTTGTACAGTAAGGAGGGTAAAACATCTTCTTAATCAGGGGAAAATCTCTGGGATCATTCAATTACTGGATCTTAATTCATCATGAATCATAAATTAAAATGTGTTGTGTTGTTTTTTAAATAGACTATAACTATTTCATTTAAAAAAAAGATACACAAACCTATAGATACCAACATAAAGAAATGGGATGGAATATCATTGAGTACTAAATGAGAGAGATTTTGTCATATGATGGGAAGGGAAGAAAAGGCAAGAGAAGAGAAGAAAAGGAAAGAGAAGAGAAAGGAAGAACGGATGATAATGTCCTGGTTTGTACAAGGTCACGGTTGATTAAATGGCAGTTTAATTGTTGATGCAGTATGACACCCAGCCTGGCCAGCCCACCACCCACAGAAAAATCTGTCTGAAATGAAACATGGCGGGGCTAAGTTGTGTGTGGAGAATGATGTACCACCTATCGAAGGAACTCTGACTACCCTTGTTATGGCATGGACCTACTGTGAGGAGGCAAGCTTGAAGGGGAATGTCAGATACCCATTTATGAAGTGCCTTCATTAAGGACACAAAAAAGTTAGGAACAGTGAGGAATTAAAACCCCGACTATGAGGTTGGCAAACCAAAAATCGTTCCCACTGCGCCAAACCATTTTTGTTCAGTGGCGGACTGTCAAGAACAGGTAAAAATAGCTTACTCAGGCTCAATAATGAAAAATATTTTAACAGTATTTATCCCGTCATTTCTTTCAATGCATTTTTGAGCTGAAGTACTTTATACAAACTTTAAACAAATTTTTTTTTTCGAGATACTGTAGTTGACACAAATCTACCATACTTATTATAGTTATAATTACACATTGCACAGTACCTTAGTCACTTAGAATTTACAAATTTACAGAGGTTGATTTTAATTACTAGACAATCATCTATTTAGATAGTGATTCAGTAAAGCATTAATTCTCTCTGATTAAATTCCATTTAATTTGCATAATGATGTCCCGATACAGGATATTACATATACAGGTTGATAAAATTACAATTGTTTAAATGGAAATCGTTTAAGAAGAAGTAATGCAAAATTGGAGAGAAATTCCAAAATAGGACCTCATCCATGGTGTATTGCGGCCTATCAGTTGTCTACAGCAGTATCTCTTGTTCAATCTCTAAGCAATAGTGAAGACGTACAGTGTATCGAGGCGGACAAAACTGCATTAATAATATAGACTTAATGCATGATTGGTTTCAGAGACTGTGGCGATGCCAGCAGTGGTCAGGTGGTAATTCCCCCTTCCTGTAAGACAAGTCTAGCCCCTCGTCGTCCAACACCAGGACCGTAAGGACGCTGGACCAAAAATACAAATTTGCTATCCAAATAACATTATTTTGAATTGCCAATCCCTTATTTTGTTGTTGTCTAAAAGTACGATTTTGGGCCATACTAAACGATAAAAGCTCTCCACATGAACCTTACCAGGAGTTTTTATTCCAGAATCCTGATCAAGGCTCTAGTCGGCTCCTTGTTTTGGACCTACTTGTTGGACATGTCAATTTCTTGAGCCACCACTTGGAGGGTGGGGGGGGGCGGGGAGGTCATCCAAAAATAGTCGACCACTGCCTTTGGATTGACTAGATTGTGCATTGAGACACACTGTAGATCTAATTAGTATTCTCACCAGAATTATTATTTCACGTAGATATATCGTTTATTGATTTGTATACGGCCATGTAAATAAATCCATTCCCATAAAAAAAAAGCATGAATATCAGGATAATGGTTAGTGGTTGTGTAGCCTGTTTTGGCTGCATGGCCCTAAAAATTCTACTGGGATATTAAAAAAACCTTGATAATATTATTCATTGTTGATTCATTAGATTAATTAGCTAACTTAAAGAGCTTAGTCCTTAAATCAAGGAGGTATCAAATTGATCATTATTATTATTATTATTATTATCAATTACGCTGTAGCTAGAGATATGGTACCGTATTTCTACTTCCATTTGCTAAAGGTACCAGACCTGCCAACCCTTGGGTCATGGAAATCTGGAGATTTTTTTAAGAATCTTAAAAAAAATCTGGAGATTTACCCAAAAATCTTGAGGTTTTCAGAATTAATTAAAAAAAAGATGATGCAAGATACCAAAAAAGTCACGTCACTAAATCATTGGCCGTTAATGGCGACATTCGAATTGAAAATGGCTGCTTGTTTATTGCACCGCAAAGCGAGCAGGCGGCGAATACATTGAATAATAAACGATCAAATCAATCAAATTATGCATAAATCGGAGTATTTTTGGAGAGGTGAGTGGCCTGAGAAATTGGGTGAAAATTTCATTCGATCGGGAGAACTGGAGATTTATTTAAATATCAGGTGACACCCGACAATATCGGGTGAGTTGGCAGGTCTGACGTATGGTAAATGGAATTGCGTCACCATCACCCAATGAAGTATTTTTTTTGCAATAACTGTCATTGATAAATAGGCGTAAGGTTTCCACTCGGTAATAATTGAATCATGTCATTTATCTACAGCCATATCAAGCAATCCCGGAATCCTCAGGACCAAACTTTTGACGACAGCTCAGGCCTTGCTTAGCCTCTTCGCTTAATAAGAGAGTTGGCATACTACTCTATCTTTGGTCTAAACTCATTTACATGACAAACCTTGCACTAAAGAACGGCATACTATAAACTGATAATAAGAGGATTCATATAGGCTTACTGGCATTTTATATACCATAATACTGTTTTAAATGAGCCTGCATCAAAAGCATGTTAGGAAAAGTTGACAATAATAATCGCGTGATTGGGGAAACGTTCTCTCGATCGATGGATTCTGGCCGAACGATGTTTACGATTGGGGGAATAACAGAGAATAAGTATACGTAAAGTTGATGTACGGTTGCATGTGTATTCAAAGTGTATGATATTTTGGTCGGATTTTGTAAACGTGGTAATTTCGAGTACTGTATATTCAGTATTATAACCTAGGCTTCTTGGACTAAAACTTGGGATCAGATTTTGGGGGTTGAGAACTTCAGACTAGGCGTGACCATGGAGGAATTAGTTTATGACTGATATATGCCATGCAGATCGATCTCACTACAGCAAGGCCGCCGCAAAGCGAAGAATTTCGAAGCAAGCCCTAGGCCTTGCTTAGATTCTTCACAAAGAATGTAAGCAAGGCCTAGAGGCCTATGCCAAGAGTTTGATGCATGACCTCACGCACATCCTGGCACTTCACTGGGTGATGGTGACATAATGATTAATGACATTTGCCGTACCTTTAGCAAATGGAAGTAGAAATATGGTACCGTATCTCAGCCACGGCGTATTAATTATACCTTCTTGCTTTTTAAATACAATGTCATTTGCAAAGCCAAAGTGTACAGTAGACAATATTAAATATTACTATTGGTAAACACTTTGGTTTGTTTTTAAAGATAGGCCACTTAGCAAAGTAACTAGTTTAATTATTATTATATTAAAGTCTTAACATACTCATTTCTTTAAGTTTGAGACAACTATAGATCATATAGTTGATAGTTGTCTCAGATACGGTACGAGGGCAATAAACCACATGCAAGCATCTAAGCAGAGGAGTAGGCCTACTTAGGCCATCTTAGGCCTAGGTTGCATTTAGGCCAACTTTTCTAGCAATCGGACTGTGCCACACCCGGCAGGAACTTAACTTCTAGCCCTTCCTTCTGTATGTAACTCTTAACAGCACGGGTTACTTACCCATATAGTACTACAACAGCTGGTATTACCTACCTTTTAAACTGATAACAAAAATCAGTCACATAATAAAATACAGAAACAGTAAGAAATGTAATCCAAGTTTATATATTGAACATCTCTGTAATAAATTTGGTTGGTACGTGGACAGGGCACAGTTGTCCACTACCGGTACGAAACGTTCAACCAATCACAATTGACTATTGACAGAAAGTATAATCATTAAAAAGTGGTGTGATGATTTATGACCAATCTGATTCATGTCTCAAATTTGGCCCTTCGAGAAGGTTGTTTTCCGATGTTTTGAGCTCCTAAAAATTGTACATCATTGTTATTTTTATCTCAATAATCTATAGGCTAATTACATCATGTTTTATTTCATTATCTATAGGAGGTTGTTATTAGTAGAGGGAATGGTAGAGTAGTCACAGCCAGGCATGCATTATTATCAACAAAGGATGTGCCGCGCGTGTTATGAGCTTGTGGAAACGCACGCGCACGCGTTTCCGGTTCGGATGAAGGTTTTTGCGTACGCGTAGCATTTTCGGTTCCGGTGGACGTGTCTGTGTACGCGTAAAAAAGAGTAAGCGTACGCGACTTCCTGATTGTGTAAAGGTTTATTTTTTAAAAACTCCTTATTAAATTTGGCTTCAAATAGAAAATTGAAAAAAACAAACATTTCACTAAAATAAAATTATCGTTGTTTATATTAAGATGCTCAATTTATATTATTGCTCATCTTCTGTTAACATTTCCTATCATCAAGTAATACTAATAAAAAATGATAATAGTAATGAATTCCCTCGGCCTATTTTTCTAGAATGTAAATGGCTTAAAATACTCTACAGTATTCTGTTATTAGATTCTTTGTTTGTTTGAAATTGTAGATTTGTTTTTACCTTCGCTTTTTAAATTACTGTAATTATATTTGCATTTACATGAAAACTAAATTATATATAATATTAAGCATAATTCTCATTCCCATATAATTTGTTTAGATATTTTCATTTGTTTTGTATATTTTGACTGAATAAAGAATAAAATAAGCGAAAGAATGAGTGAAAGAATATTTGATACTAATAATGATAACGATAAGAAAGGAACAGTTACAGTAGTCACAACAAAGCCAAAAGAATGTATGGTTTCATAAGTGCGTGTGAGCGAAATCAAATGAGGCAGTCGATATTAAGAAGTTGTTCATAGCTCTAGTGCGACCACTTCTTATGGCATTCCTGCCTGGTATCTATATGAAAAAGGTTGATGGACACATTATTGAAAAGGTGCAACGATGAATGACAAAGTCATGTCTTAATGTCTCACGAGATCGATGTCCTATGGCCTATGAACAACGTCTTAAGCACCGTAATAAGATTTCACT